TTCCTCTAGCTCTCCACACAGCTAGTGTGTAAGGCTCCCTTTTCTTCTTCAAGCCTCAGATCAAATAATGACTGTCAGGAACCGTATGTCAGGAGAGGCCTTCTTGAGTCCCCAACAAGAGAAGCCACACATAGATCTAGGCATGGTCCCATGACTGAGTTTTTTGGTTTTATTTTGTTTATCACAATATGAAAGACAACTCCCTGAGGGCAGAGGCCTGGACCACTGCTGGTCCAGACTGAATATTTCTATAGGTATGAACTATGGTATATTAGATAAGAATAATTCTTATGAAGGAAAATAAAAGAAAGACTGAGGTTAAGAAATGTTGAGGAGAGGATGGGAAATTCTAAATAGGACAGCCATAGAAGGGGTCACTAACATTTGAATAAAGTCCAGGAGTTGGTAAGGGAGGGTTATTTGAGAGAGGAGCTTTCAGGAAGAGGGCCCAGCAAGTGCAAAGGCCCTGAGGTAGGACCATGCCTGATAGGCTCCAGGAACTGCAGGGAGACCCGTGTGCTTGGACAGGGAATTGAGGAGGAGAATGAAGTGGAATGAGGTCTGAGAAGGGATCAGGACAAGATGGTACAGGGCCTCATGGGCTGTGGGGGGGACTTGGGCTTTTCTTTGCCATGAGGTGGAGGTTAGAGGGGGTGGAGTGGTGTGCCCTGAGCTCAGGAGGACCCTGATTGGACTCTAGTGTTAACAAGATCCCTGTGGCTGAGGCACTGAGTGGGGAGATGAGGAATGGAGAGACCACAGAGAAGGCTGTTTGCTGAAAAAAGTAAATATATGCAGTAGAACAAGGGTCCCCAATGCTTGGGCCAAAGACTGGTACCAGTCAGTGACCTGTTAGGAACCGGGTCACACAGCAGGAGGTGAGTGGCGAGTGAGCAAGCGAGTGAAGCTTCATCTCTATTTACAGCTGCTCCCCATCGCTGGCATTACTGCCTGAGCTCCACCTCCTTAGATTCTAATAGATTCAGGAAGCCTATTGTGAACTGTGCACGCGGGGGACCTAAGTTGCCCTCCCCTTATGAGAATAATCCCGAAACCATCCCTTAACCCCTGTCTGTGGAGAAATAGTCCGCCACAAACTCAATCCCTGGTGCCCAAAATTCTGGGGACCACTGCAGTAGAAGAAGGTCCTATCTATATCTATGGCCGAAGAATCCAGAGAAGGGTAGTGGGAGAGGTCTAAGGGGAGCACTTGGTGTCCGAGGGCCATGTCTTTGATCCTCATATGAACCCACGGGAGCAGCCTGCAGCCTTGAACTGCGGCCAAGGCTCCGGGGTTGGGGAGGGCGGAGCTGAGGAGCCGCCCCCACTCTGATGACCTCCAATGTCTTCCCCAGACTATGACACTGTGCAGACGGTGGGCATGACTCTGGCTACCATATTGTTCCTGCTGGGCATCCTCATTATCCTCAGTAAGTGTGACCCTTTCCTGGGCTCCAAAGCCCCTCCAAGAAGGCTGCTTGGGGTCCCCAGGCACCTACAATTCCCCTACTGGCTTTTGTCCAGACTCTTATGTCCTGTCTCCTCGCTCTGTTCTCTGTCTCTCCTAACAGGCAAGAAGGTGAAGTGCAGGAAGGCGGACTCCAGGTCTGAGAGGTCTGGCAGCAGAAGGGAGAGAAGGGGAGGGGTGGGAACAGCCTGGGAGCCCCCAGGGGTACTCCCATAACCAAAGGGACCCCAGAGCCAGTCAGGTGTTCCCCAGAAAGCCTGCTCAGTTGAGTCTCTTGATGCCTTTCTCTCTCATCTTTGCTTCCACAGCCCAACATGCAAATCCTGTAAGTCGGAGCTTCCCTCCTCAGGTGAGGATGTGAGAGAGTGTGGCTATGGGAGGGTGAGTGGGAGTGGGGAGGGGAGTCCAAGGGGATGTTGTGCTGGATGTCCCTAAGAATGGGGCCGCCAACAATGCGGCCGAGATTCCACACATCAAACCTGTTAAAGCGTCAAGTTAGTGGGATGTGACATGGACTCCTAAAGAGTCCTTGAAGCTGCCCAGAAACAAGCACCTAATCTTATAAAAGCAAGGATGAACTCATTCCCCAGAGGAGAGAGCCACAGCCTGTGAAGAGAGGGGTCCCACGTGGGAAAAGAACGTTGGCAATCAGAATGAAGGCAAAGTTGAGCACTAGAGAAGGTAGGAAGATAGAATGATTTCTTGACTTTCCTGTTCAGTTAGGACGATCAAGGATGAAATGACTGAGAAAAAGGAAGGGAAGAAGGAAGGAAGCAAGGGAAAAAAGGGATGGGGGAGGGAAGAAGGCAGGCAGGCAGGCAGGAAGGAAGGGCTTAAGAATAACTGTATCAAAAAAAAAAAAGGAGAGACATATAGAATGCAGATTTTAAAAATTGATATTGGAAAAGTAAAGACAGAATATGGGAGGGAGTAGGGTGGAGGGTGGTGGAGGATGGGGGTGGGGGGGTGGAGGGTGAAGAGTGGAAGGGGGTGGAGGATGGGGAGGTGGAGAGTGGAGGGGGTGGTGGGTGGAGGAGGGGGGAAGTGAATGCAGGTGCATAAAGGTTATAAGGGAAGGTGGAGAGAGATGTAGGATGTAGGAGGAGGGATAAGCATGTAGATGAAAGATTGTGACTCCTTGGGGGTGTTCATTTTAATTATGTAAAAATATCTCGACCTGTTTTTGGTGGAACTGTGTCCTTTCCAGGGACTTTTAAAAAACCAGAGATGGGAATCTCCTTGGCTCTTTTGTTTTTAGAACTAAAAAAAAAAAAAATGGGCCTTAAGGTAATCAACATTTGGAGGATTTGATGTTGAATTTCATGTGTTTGGTTTCATGTTTATTTCATGAGATTTAAGATCTTGAAGGGATCATTTTGTGAATGATGGAGGGGTTGGCCCAGGCACCTGACCACAGTCTAAGAGTATATATGAGATTTTGACCCATGACAATTGAATGATGGTCCCAAGTGGGTGGGAGACAGAAGAATTCCTGTTGTATACACAAGTTCCAGAGATGGGGTGTTGGGGTGTAGGAAGAGGTTGGGGGCTTGGCAGAGGGATGGAGACTCTTCTTCTGGCAGGGGGACACCCCAGAAGAGCCCAGGGTGGGCCAGGGGTCCCCAGCTTCATCACAGAGGTCCTGTGAGATAGGACAAAAGCCAACAAAGTGTCTCCATATGGACCAGACATTGGGGTGCAGGAGGCAAGGCAACATCCGAGGGCTAGCTCGGAGTGACAGTCTGGGGCCTGACCTCAATGCTGGGGATGAAGGGCCCACTGCCACCCCTCTTGTCACCGACTGAAGCTCCCCGGCTCTCTCTCTCTCTCTCTCTCCACCCCCCCTACCCCCCAGCCCCCGGAGGTGGCGGCGTGTAGAACCAGTCGTGGTCACCTCCACTGCAGTCCCTGCCTGAGAGCGGGAGCCTGAGGATCGGGTGGAGGCGGTGGGGACCCCAGCCTGGCCACCCCACTCCCCGGCAGCGCTCCCCTGAATGAGCCGCCCCACCCACTCCAAGGCTGGAGCCGCTGCACCTCCCTAGGCCTTGGCAATGACGACCCCCGAAGAGCCCGTCTGCATCCCAGATCCGGAGACTCAGGCCTCCATCTCCTGGGGTCCTGGAGTCCATGCTCAGCCCCCGGGGACCACCCTGTCTCCTCTTAGGAGATCCGGTCCCCTGCACCCTCGGTGTCTATGTCTTGAGCTTAATAAATCTGCGTTTGGTTTTTCCCCCTCTTCTGTCTGTGTGTCCTCATCTGTGGGGAGGAAATGGGGGAGGGGGCAAAATCGAACCTGGGGAGCTATCACCCCATCCCCAGACTTACCCACTTCCTCTCCTTCCCCTCTGTCAGCTCCCTAGTGGCCTCCTCCTCTCTCGGAACCCCTCAAACTTCCCCTCCCTTCCCTCCAGGCCATCACCACCCCCCAACCCAGCTGCCCATCCCCGAAACCCCAGAGTAGACCCCTCCCCCCGCTCCCCTCGCCTCCCCAAACCCCACCCCTCCTAGACCTGCCCGCCCCGCGGTTCCCACCCCCAGCCTCCCCTAGGCGGGGTGGGTGGAGGCCTCTGCCCTGCCTCTCACCCCAGGCCCCAGCATCGCCCTCAACGTCTCCCCCTCCTGCTCCCACCCCGGGCTCTGAAGCCAGGAAACCCAAGAGGAAATGACTGAGCCCGTCTCGGTCCCCGCCCGCCAGCGCGCTCCCCTGGCCACACCCTCCGCCTGGACGCAGCCGCCGCCGCTGTCCTCTCCTCACGAGGCTGCAGGCTCGGGACCCCGGCTCTGACGTGAGTGTCTCCTCCGACCCTCCTCTATCCGCTCCCCTCTGCCCAGGCGCCGGGCTCAGGTGGGTAGAGACCATCCTCTCGACGCCTCTCCGCCCCCCATTCATGCTCACTCTCCCTCCGGCTCTTTTCGGCACCGCCGCGTGGGCACCACTCGGATCCTCCTGCCTCAGTCTCCCCAGTTCGCCTCCCTCCCTCTCACCGGCCCAGATCTGCCCAGCATCCCGCTCTATTGTCCCTGCCGGGAGGCCCTCACAGCAACTCACTTTTTCCTCTGAGATCAGAAGCACATTACTCACTCTTCCTCTTTCCCCCTCCTTGCTGGCTCCTCGCTCTGAGGACAGCCCCAGAGGGAGGGCCGAGGCCCTCCTATCTCCTCTCCTGCACCCCAGCGCCTTCCCCTTGCCCGGCAGGGTCAGTCCCAGCCGGCCACGTAAGTGCTTCTCCGCTTTGTGGGGCAGAGGGGACTGTCCCGGGCAGTGGCTGCCTCTTGGAGCCTGCTGTAGACTGATGCTTTTTGTTATTTTGGGGGACCTGCAGAAGGAAAGAGGAATTGACGGCTCGGAACCTTCACTTCTGAGACCCTCCCCTTGGCCCCCTTCCCCACAGCCAACCATCAGCCCTAGCAGAGGTCTCTGAAGCCAGAGGGGCCTGTTCAGGGTAAGGAAGGGGGCTGCAGGGTCCCAGGGGTTGCCCTGGGCCTGCGTCACTGACATCGTGGCTGACCCCAGCTCTGACTTGCTCTACAGATGTCGCCCTCTGGTCGCCTGTGTCTCTTCATCACCGTTGGCCTGATTCTCCCCACCAGAGGTAAGGCCCAACCATTTCTTTCCACCCTGCTGCAGAGCCCCCAGCCTCACTTCGAGTGCGTGTGTTGCTGGGTGGCTGCCTGGTGAATCTGGGTTCTCTCTCCTGTGTCCTCAGTCTTCTACTGAGCTGGCACCAGGAAGTGGGGGCCCCAGTGAGGGGGCCAAGGTTACACCCTGTTTAGATACCTCAGAGCTGGGTGGCTGCTTCCAGTGAGTCTGGCCAGGGCCTGTCCTGCTGAGCATCCTCCATTTGACTTCCAAGAAGAACTCACAGTTTGATTTGGCGGGGAGATGGGTGTAGATTTTCTACTTGGCAACCAGGAACCCTAGACTCACAGCACAGGAGCTTCCTGGATCCTTGGGTGATATGTGATTAGGGAAAGGGAGTGAGCTGAGGCCAGTCCAGGAGTTGAAGACGTCTCACCCTTGCCTGTGAAGTGTTTTCTGAAAACATTATCTATGGGGGATCCTTGCAGGTGCTTTCTACATGGCAGGTGCTTGTTTCAGCTTCTGCTCTAATTGATGGTGCTATTATGCCCATTTTACAAATGAGGAAACTGAGGCTCAGTGAAGGAAAGTGCCCTGTGCCAGAGGCTAGTGTGTGGAGGGGCTGGGCTCTAACCCCGGAACCCAGAGCAAACTGCACTGAAATTGCTCCATTTCTGTGGGATAAAATGGTTTTCGTGTGTTCATTCAGTCATTCAACAAGTGTTCACTAAGTGGATCTTATTCTAGGCACTGGGGAGACAGCAAGGTATAAAACAGGAGCTCACATTCTAATTGGAAAGACAGACACCAAATGCAATCAGTAACTTATATTGGGTTGGCCCATAACATATTATGGAAAAAAAACAAACGAACTTTTGGGCCAACCCAATATTATATGCTAGAAGGTGAAAAACGCTATGAAAAAAAAAAATAGAGGAGAGAAATGAAGCTTGCTTAAATAGAGTGATCAGGGAAGACCTCACCAAAAAGTGACATTCACCAGAAAGTGACATTCGGGCAGATACAAGGAGAGGAGGCGATGAGCCAAGCAGGTACGTGAGGAATATGAGTTCTGTCTGGAGAGTGTGAGTGACAGCAGGCAGGCCAGGCCTGGGTTGGGATGAACAAGGGGTGGGGTGGAAAGAGGAGAGGTCAGAGAGGTGACAGGAGATTGGGTTGGTGGGGGGCGGGGGGGACTTATGGGCCAGGTGAGGGCTTTGGCTCTTACTCAGAGCAAGGTGGAGCCAGAGGAGGCACTCAGCCAGCAGCCTGATCTGACTCAGGTTCACAGGCTCCCTCTGGCTGTGTGTGGGGAGCAGGGAGACCAGGGAGGAGGCTGTGTGATGGTCCTGGAGGGAGAGGATGGAGGCAGGGCCAGGCTGGGGGCAGTGGCGATTGATAGATATGATATCTGATATCCAGCACTGACTGCATGTTAAGCAGTAGGCAAGACTCTTCCCACCTCCATCTCATTTCACCCTCTCTACAGTCCTGAGAAGTAGATTCAAGAATTATCTCCACTTTGCAGAGGAGGCAACCAGGGGCTCAGAGGGAGGGGTTTCACTTGCTCCAGGACACAGAGCAAGGAAGCTATTGGAACAGAATTTGAGATCAGGCCCCTGGCTGACTCTAGCGCCTGGGCATACTTGCCTTAACTGCTTCTCTCATCCCACAAGGATGGACAGGGAGAGGCGGCTGGAGGTAGGGTGTGCAGTGTTAGCATTTCTTAAAACACTTCCACCAAAGCTGATCAATCAACTGCTGCTCCACCAGCAGACCACCAAGGTTGCAGAAGGAAGGGGAGGGTGGGAGTGTTGGTGAGAGAAGGGGGACCAAAGGCTCCCCCCCTGACTTCTCATCCTTGATTTTCCAGGACAGATATCAAATGAGGTCATAACTCCAGCAGATCCAGCAACTGAAATCATTGATGTCCTTACTCCAGCCCTAGATGAGGAACAAGGAATGGGTCTGTCAACATCCTATCACAGCAACAAAAATTTCAAGCTTGAACCAAATGGGAGTTTTTGGATTTGTGTAACTGAAAAGTCCAGGGATACACCTTCAGGCATGGCTCCTTCTAGGCTCAGTTCATCCTGCTGCTCACAGCACCACAATGAGAAACCTCTCCCCTCCTCCCCGAGCGCTTACAGCACATATGAAGGGACAGTCATGGTTCTAAATACTTACCTGCATTCACTCACTCAATCCTCACACAAACCCTCTGAGAAAGAAGTGAGCACTGTCCTCATTTTACAGGAGGCTCAGAGTCACTCGTCCAGGGGGTCACCAAAAGTCAGTGACACGCCTGGGATGAGGATCCAGGAACCTGACTCTGAAGTTTACTCATGACCCTCTGGGGCACAGGAACACCGACTTGCCCTGCCACCAGCAGCGCATGGGAGAGTCCCCCTTTCTCACCCCCACAGCAACATTTATCCATGGACAGCTTTGATTTCAGCCAGCCTGGTTCAGGGAGAAGGACCCTTGCTGTTTTCTGCAGGTCCCTGATTCACTCCTTTCTCACCCTCCCTGCCTTTCTCTTCTTCCCTGAGTAGAAGCAACACCGAAGCAGACAGAGACCCAGACTCAGCAAACGACAGAAACGGAGGTGCTTCTAACAACAGGTCAGGGGACAGACAAGAGCACGACACAAGGTAGACCTGGGACTAGAACAGCAACATACTTGAGTTGTGTTTAATTATCTATCTAGGGCAGCATTTCCCTGAGTATGTTTCTCAGAGCATCCATTTGGGGAACTAATACATTTTTCCAATTTTTTTTTTTTTTTTTTGGTTTGCGGTTAAAGATATTTGGGAAACTCTTGAGTTAAATATGTTTCTATCTGCTGGGACTTCTCGGAGCCATAATAAAGCTTATTTGCAGCAGGCATCTCAAGAGGGACTATCTGGTTTGCAACATTTTCAAATTTGATAGACTCAGAGACCCTCTTTTTTTTTAAGTAACTTGATTAAATTAATTACTTAATTTTATTTTGATTGCACTGGGTCTTCTTTGCAGTACTCAGGCTTCTCTTTTTGTTATGGAACATGGGCTCTAGAGTGCTTGGGCCCCATAATTGTGGCCCTCAGGCTTAGTTATTCTGAGGCATGTGGGATCTTCCTGGACCAGGGATCAAACCTGTGTTCTCTACATTGGAAGGCGGATTCTTAACCACTGAACAACCAGGGAAGTCCCTCTGAGACCCTCTTTATTCAGGTCCCTTCATAGGGCTGGTGCGGGAAATGTGCCTGTGGGTTTATCCTTGGTGTAGATCTTCTTAATGTTAGAGCAGGAGCTTTTCAGTTACAAAATTCAGAAAACCCAACTGAAAAAAAAATTATTAGCAATATATGCTTTGTTAAGTACAGAGGCACTAATGTCAGGCACAGCTGGGTCAAAGAGCTCAAGCACTGTCATCACAACTTTCTTCCTCTCAGCTCTGCTGTCTTCTTTCTGAAGAGGTCTTTCCCCTCTTAGTGGCAAAGGTGGTCCACTAGTTCTAAGTTGCAATTACAAACTCAGCAACTAGAGTGCCTCTCTAGCTGAAGGCCTAGAGCTGCCTCTCATTGGCCCAGGTGGGGTCACCTGCCCATGACTGACCAATGGGAACCTGGGAAATGAACAGCTCTGATTGGTCAGGGCTGAGTGTTGTGCCCTGGTCAACTCTCTGAACCACTTAGACCAAGAGTAAGGGAAAAGATGACTCACCACAGGACAAGTGAGTCAGTGTTACCAGAGGTAACATTTGGGAAAGGGAGATGAGCGGAAATAAAGGTAATAGGTGGTTTCTAATGCCTGTGTGATGGTCCGTATTTGAGAGGCAGCCCCCACTGGAAAGTCCTATAGCTTAGGCCACTCACAGGCTGGAATGCATGCATGGTTGCTCAGGTCGGGCACTGCACAAGGGCACTACGTGGAAAGTCCTCCCTCTGTAGATATTTTTTGTTATTATCATTGTTACAACTTCCCAGTGATGACAGTAAAGCATCTCTTGCTGACAGAGTCTGTCTATTAAAACAATTTTACAACAGATGGAAATACGGTGTCTTGGGGGAAGGGAGTTTTTTTTTTTTTTTTGTACAACCATGGGGGTGGGGGTATAGCAGCTGTTTCCACATTTTCCAATTGAGAAAACATCTTCATATTTCTGGATTCTCTTACTCTGAGTCCTTGCTGACCTGGGTTACTCTATGTGTTCTTCTATATCCCTGGTTATACGTGATGAAAATTCATCTGGGCCGAGGGGATCAAGGAGCCGAGAGGTAAAAGGCACTGCTGAACCTCAGGCTTGCCCAGCCCCCACAGAGCCTCTCTCCCTCCTGCATCTTTGTTCTCTTGTGCTGGAGCTTGTCTTTCACCTGGCAAGGAAGTGGCTCCATCACCTGCAGGCTCAGAACTTCTGAGTTTCACCCAGCATCTGCTGAAAATTTTAGCTTGGAATTTGAAAGGTCCCAGCGAAGGATGGGGCTTCCCAGGTGGCTCAGTGGTAAAGATCCTGCCTGCCAATGCAGGAGACATAAGAGATGCAAGTTTGACCCCTGGGTCGGAAGATCCCCTGGAGAAGGGCATGGCAACCCACTCCAGTATTCTTGCCTGGAGAACCCCAGGGACAGGGGAGCCTGGCAGGTTATAGTCCATAGGGTAGCACAGAGTTGGACACGACTGAAGCCACTTAGCGCTACAGGGAAGGATGAGACTGGGTCACATGCTCCCCCTTGTGGCTGGGTTACCATAGGAGACCAAGATGGTCTGGGGAAGCAGCAACATTTCTCCCCAGAGAAAGGGGGACTGTTCACAGAAGAAGGGGGAAGTTGGAGCCAAGTAGACAATACAACAATGTGCTGAGGGTTTGCTCCATCCACTGTGCTAAGCTTTTACATGACCACTCATTTAGTGCTCATCACTACCCTACATGGTAAGAGCTGTTGGTACCCCATTTTACAGGGAAGGAAACTGAAGCCCGGAGAGGTTACTCGCCAAGCCGTAGGCCACACAGTGCAAAATGGCAGAACCAAAATTTGAGCCCAGGCTCCCTCACACTGGGGGAGGGGACAATGAGCCCTACATTCCCCCAAGGCTGTCTTTTTACATTTCCTGTGATCCTTCCATCTTTGCCCATGACTTTGTTGCTCCCTTTTCTTGGAAAAAGCTTTCCTGAACATCTCGTAACCTTTGGCTGTTGGTTTTAGGAATGTTTAGGAAGCGAGACACTGAGGCTGGCCTGGGGAGCCAGTCACAAGGCAGTCTCTCTGCTTGCTGGCTTCACATCTGGGGATCCGTCAGGGGTGACCACCTTAACTGGGGATGCTCTCAGTGCCAAAGGGGCAGGACTTTCCTTGGGGATATTCATGTTTTTACAAAGAGGAACCCTCTGATGTGTTTGGTCTGGGAGCAGAGGTGATATTCAACATGTTTTCTAACCAGTATCTCCAAGTTCTGTGACTGGGTCAAGATCCTGGAGGCCCTTGTCTGGGCCTGACAGATGTTACCCTTTATTCCTGATCATGGGGCCATCCAGAAGGTCCTTAGAGAGGGACCAGGGGTCCTCAGGGGTTAGCAAGCTAGCCTGGGCTGTTGGTCTTAATCAGGGTGAGCACCTGCCACTCCTGGCTGCCTCCGTGGGTTGGGGGGGGGGACCTGTGCCAGCTCACTGAATGTAGGTGTGGGAGAGGGGCTACTCCCAGACAAAGATGATCAATGGTGTCTCTTGTTTCTCTCCCTGGTTCACTCCTGCCCTCCACCATTCTCTGGCTGCTCTCTCTGCTGATCCCACTCAAGGCTCTACGCCCTCCAAGACGAAATCCCCTGCCAATCCCACTCACGGCTCCACGCCCTCCAAGACACAATCCCCAAGCAGGGACGAGAGGAGGGACTCCATCCTCAGACAGCCTGGTCAGTAACTCCCTTCTCAGACTGGACACAGGCTATTTCTTATTCTGTGTGTTCTTAGCACCTCAATATTGCCCAGCACAGAATGCTCAGTAACCAGGTGTTGGGTGAATACCTGACTTCAGGGCTGGTATTCTTGTGAGTGAGTAAAGGGTGGGCACACAGTAAATGTCTGAATAGATGAATGAATGTGTGAGTGTTGCATAGAGATGACTCCAAAACCCAGCAGCTTAAAATGACAATCATTTATTTAGCGCTCAGGTCTGCAATTTGGAAGTCTAGTCTGGGCTCAGCTGGGTGCTTCTCTGGTCTCAGCTGGATTTACCTGTGCATTGGAGATCAGTTTGGGGTCAGCAGAGAGCTCTGTGTATAGGGGCACCTTGATTCTTCCCCTCCTGGCCTTATCTTCCACTTCCTATGCAGCCAGCTGCAGTGAACAGATGGAAATGATACAGCCATGGATCACATAGAGAGTTCATTCATTCATTCATTCACACAATATTCACTAAGCACTTATTGTGGGCCAGGCCCTCCTCTAGGTGCCAGGAGTCCAGAAGTGAGTGAGACAGATGAAAATCTCTCCCTTCATGGAGCAGATGTTCTCATGGGAGAGAGACAATAAATAAGGATCATAATAACTATAAATAATAAGTTAATAATAACCATATATTAAGTTGCTGTCAAGAAAAATGAAGGGGGAAGAAAAAGAAAGACACAACAGAGTTAGGGTGAGAGAGTGGTCAGAGAGTATTTTCTGTAAAAGGTCATGGAGACCTCACTGGGAAGAAGCTAAGGGGAACCACGTGGATGCCTGAGGAAGGGAGCTTCTGGCAGTAGGAGCACCCAGTGCAAAGGCCCTGGGGTGAGCAGGGTTTCACATAGTTCACCCATGGGGAATGGGGGTGGGAGTAAAGCACAGTGAGTAAGGGGGTAAGCGAGGAGAAGAGTTTAGAGGTAATGGGAACCCGATTGTGCTCCTTGTGAGGACTTCAGGTTTTGCCCTAAGTGCACCAAGGCTGAGATCCAGGTGTCTCCTCTCTGACTCTCTCACACACCGATTCGCTCCATAAACTTTTGCTCCCTTCTGTCCCCTCCAGGTTCAAAGGAGGATGACCCCTTCTTCTATGGTAAGTTACTCTTCGGAGGCTGTGGGGGAAAGAGGTTGAAGGTCCCTCTCATCACACCCTTCCATTTCTCTCTGCAGACGAGGACACTCTCCGGAAACGGGGGCTGATGGTGGCAGCAGTGTTGTTCATCACAGGCATCGTCATCCTCACCAGTGAGAATGGGGGCTGGGTGGGAGAGGCATATGGACTGGGAGGGAAGAGACCTTGGCTTACACTCTGACCAGATGGGACTTGAAGGCCCCTAACAAGGTCATTTTAAAGGAGACATATCCATGTAAACCAGGCTTCACAGGTGTTTCGGTGGCAAAGAATCCACCTACCAATGCAGGAGCCGCAGGTTCAATCCCTGGATCGGAAAGAGCCCCTGGAGAAGGAAGTAGCAACCCACTCCAGTATTCTTGCCTGGGAAATCCAATGGACAGAAGAGCCTGGCGAGCTACAGTCTGTGGGGTTGCAAAGAGTCAGACATGACTCAGTGACTGAGAATGCACATCCACGTAAACCACCCCGGAATTCAGTGGTTTAAGATGATAGCCATTTACTGAGCTCTCATTTCTGCACTTTGGAAACATAGTCTGGGCTCAGCTGGGTGGTTCTTCTGGTTGCCGCTGGATTTATTCATGCCTCTGAGGGCATTTGCGGGTCAGCAGGGATCTGTTTGAATGGGAACCTCAGGTCTTCACTTGGTGGTCTTCTCTAGCAGGCTAGCCTGGGCTTGTTCACATAGCAGGGGAATGCAATGGTGCAACTCCCCAGGAGTAGCAACACCTGGGAGCTGTGATGCTGCAGCCTGAGGCGGTGAGGGGAAGGAGCAGCTGCACCAGGGCCTGGTGAGAGATGGAGCTGGAGGAGGGGGCCCCAAACAGGACCTGTGGCTCCAGAGAGAGGTTTCCAACCACTGCTTCCTGGTAAGCTCCCTGGAAGGAACAGGGCACGGGTCGAGAGGATCAGACACCTCAACCTCTCTCTCCTTTGTGCCCTTGTCTCTCCCACCAGGCTGTGCTCAGCCTCCCAGGGCCCAGTGTCAGACCAAAAAGGGGGACAAAGGAAGGATCTCAAGCAGAGAAACTAATTTTTAAATAATGCTACAGATTAAATATAATACAAGGGCCACCAGTTTGCAAGCTCTCAGTTAAACTGTATAACCCATGCCAAGTTTTATGACCTCTCTTGTCCAGCTGCCTCATCAGGAAAGGGGGCACAGCCATATTTTTTTGCCTTAAGGTGGGAGGCAGAACATGGATAGAATTAAAAAGAGATCACTGACACGTGCCTGATCGGTGTTGAATAAGGGGGTCAAGCACTGTTGCCTCAATTTTTCAACTCATGTTTATAGATCCTGACTTTGTGCCAGGCACTGTTCTCTCCCCTGTGGGAAAAGGGAGGCTCAGAGAATTGCAAAGTTTGCCCAAGGTCACACAGCACATAAAAATCAGGGAAGGGCTGGACCTATGTCTGTGTCAAGGCAGAGCCTGAATGTTACCTCTAGGGCTATAAATTGTTCCAGTGACATTTGTGAGCACCTACTCTGTGCCCAGGTTTCCCAGGTGGCGCTAGTTGTGAAGAATTTGCCTGCCAATATAGGAGACACAGGAGACGCAGGTTCAATCCCTGGGTCGGGAAGATCCCCCTGAGTAGGAAATGGCAACCCACTCCAGTATTTTTGCCTGGAAAAATCCCATGGACAGAGGAGCTTGGTAGGTTACAGTTCATGGGATGGCAAAGAGTCAGACACAACTGAGCACACACACACACTCTCTGTGCCCTCCTGTGCTGTGATGCTGGGGACCCTGGTCCCCACCATTAGGGAACTCACAGCTGGTGGGAGATCACAATAAATAGGTCACCGCTTTTATGAGCAGTGTGAATACAGAAAAAAGAGACTTGCCAAGAGGAAAATAAAGATGAGATTGAGAAGGATGAGAAGAGGCTCTTCCTTTTAAGAGGTCAAAGCAGAATGGATTCTGGTGATGAGAAAGATGATTTTAAAAACCAGGCAGAGGGAGCAGCAAGTGGAAAGCCCTGGAGGCAGGAATGAGCTGAGCTTGTTAAAATAACCAAGGGAAGAGGCGGAGTGGCTGGGAAGGTGTGAGAGAAGAGGAGTAGGAGATGAGTCCAGAGGGACGGGGCAGGCGGGGGGTGGGGTAGGTAAGTGTGGCAGCTGGGAGATGGAGAGGGGCTGTTTTCTGAAGTTCCCTTTGTTTCCTTTCTTTAAAAAAAAAATTATTTAGTTGGCTGCTTTGGTGGCTCAGATGGTAAAGAATCTGCCTGCAGTGCAGATCCCTGGGTCAGGAAGATCCCCTGGAGAAGCGAATGACACCCCACTCCAGTATTCTTGCCTGGAGAATTCCATGGACAGAGGACACGGATGGGCTACAGTCCATGGGGTTGTAAAGAGTCAGACATGACTGAGCGACTAACACACACATTTTGGGTTTTAGTTGGCTGCAGCGTTGCAGGTTCTTAGTTGAGGCACATAGGATCTAGTTCCCTGACCGGGGATTGAACCTGAGCCCCCTGCATTGGGAGCACAGAGTCTTAATCACTGCACCTCCAGGGAAGTCCCCGTTCTTTGTTTTCTAAGATCCCCCTCATTTCCTTTGGCCCAACCCCCTGGCCTTCCGGCTCTCCTTTAATCCCTCCTGTCTACTCCTCCCTCACTCAGGGCCTTAGAACTGGGTGTTCCCTATGCCTGGGACACCCTTCCTCCAGATGTCCACGTGGCTTCCCTCTCATCCACCTCAGGTCTTTGCTCAAACATCACCTCCCCAGTGAGGCACACCTAGTCATCGCCATGAGGATGCCCCCAACTCCTGGGCCTCCCTGCCTCCTTCCTTGTTTTATTTTTCCTCATAGCACTCATCACTGACTCATCACCATCCATACACTTGACTTAGGTCTTTTCTCATTGTCCATCTCCCCCACTGGCAAGTCAGTACTCCCAGAGCAGGGATTTTCCTCCATTTGTGTTCCTGGCCATGTCCCCGTGTCCCCAGTGCCTAGGTCACTGCCCGGTCCAGAGTAGGTGCACAGTAAATATTTGCTAAACATGTGAATGACCCTTGGGGACCCTTGTGCCAGCTCTTCCCCATCAGCTTCTTGTCACTTGTTCAGAGTTGCCTTGGAGCCTTCCGAGGGGCAGGGTGGATGGGCCTCATCCTCCAGCATCCAGATCACACGTAATAATCAGGATTGTCTGACTCACGACAGAACTGTTTCTTTCACCCACAGGTGGCAAGTGCAGACAGTTGCCCCGATTGTGCTGGAATCGTGACAGATGAGTCTGTAGGAAGCAGGGGCTGACGACCTGATGGGCACCCCGAGACTGAGCCCCCACTGGCTCGCTGTGACCTTGCAGGACCTACAACAAAGCCCAACCTGAGAGAGAAGAGGTGGCTGGAGCCAGAGCCAGGACTGATGGCCTGAGCCCCCTGCTCTCCCAGCCTTGCCTGCCTGAGGACTGCCTCCCCCCGCCCCCCATTTATCCCCTGTGTTCAGACAGGAAGTAAAGCCCTGCGTTCTCTGTCCCTTGGTCTCTGATCATTCTTGACCGGGGCGTGGAACAGTGGCGGGGGCTGGGGCAGGGCCCCCAAGAGTAAGATGGGGGGGGTCACAGACTCCAGAGCCTAGGTGGGGGATACGGTGAACCAAGCCAGCAGGGGTGAGGTGGGAGGGATGAGAGGTGAGCCTCAGAAGAATTTGACCAATGAGAGGGTCAGCGCTGGATTCCGCCCACAGCAGATGGAGACCCCCGGTGTACAGAGCCAAAGCCAGCTCGGCCCCTGATGTTGGGAGGCGGTGCTGGTAACTGGGCAATGACAAATGGAGGCCCCAGGCCCATGGCAACTGGCTTTTTCCCCACTCTGGGTACCTCCAGCATGTGAGTGTGGACACCCCACCCTACACATCCAAGCTCCAGCCACACTCCTGGTTCCCTCTTGGTTTAGGATGTGTCCACAAGAAGGCCACTAGAGTGGGCTCAGAGTAGTTTGGGTGGGGGATTCCAGGGTCCTGGGGGCCCAGAGCATGGTTGAGAAGGGGTATAGGCCCCAGTGGGCACTTCCTGAAGACCCTTGGGTTCTGTCGCCTGTGGGGAGGGACTCAACAATGTTAGTCAAAAGTAGACCCTTGGAATCACAGGGCTGGGGGTGGAGACCTCTGCCCAGGGTCAAGGGTCATTATGCCAAAGCAAAGAGACAAGGTCTGGTTCAAAGTGGTTGCATAACAGTGTTTCACAAATTTGTAGTCACAGCCTGTTCATGGATTACAAAATCAGTTTAGTGAGCTGTGAGTAGCATTTAAAAAAAAAAAAAGGGAAGGAAAAGGAGTAATAAAATAGAAAAGAAAGTATCAGAAAAGAAACTAATATGACTTGGGGCTTCCCTGGTGGTTCAGTGGTAAAGAATCTGCCTACCAGTGTAGGAGACAAGAGTTCAATCCCTGATCCAGGAAGATCCCACGTGCTGCGGAGTGACTAAGTGCCACAACTATTGAGCCTGTGCTCTAGAGCCCGGAAGCCACAACTACTGAGCCCCACTGGGCAGCTACTGAAGCCTGTGCAGACTGGAGGCTGTGCTTTGCAACAAGAGAAGCCGCTGCAGTGAGGAGACTTTGTACTGCAACAAATAGTAGCCCCTGCTCCCCACAACTAGAGAAAAGGCCCCGCACAGCAACAAAGACCCAGCACAGCCAAAAATAAATAAATTAAAAAAAAAAGAAACCAATGTAACTATGTATATATATTCTCTTCTCAATTTTTGCCACATTTTCATCACACCTGTATTATTATTCATTTATTTAATAGAAGAACTCTCATTTTAACTTAAAAAATATTTTAAAAAGCACAATAATATATGGAAAAGCTGTACTGCATCATGTAAATCACAGGTAGCCCTAAAGATGCATTCAATTAAAACGCATATATTGCATATGATATATTTTGTATACATGTCTATATGTGACATATGTGTATACATATGTGTAACATGCATATTATATGTGTGATGTGTACATTATGTGTACATGATATATGGTAGTAATACTGTTGGTCACTTAGTCATGTCTGACTCTTTGCAACCCCATGGACTGCAGCACGCCAGGCTTCCCTGTCCTTGACTATCTCCCAGAGTTTGCTTAAACTTATGTCCATTGAGTCGATGATGCCATCCGACCATCTAATCCTCTGTCACCCCCTTCTCTTCCTGCCCTCAACCTTTCCCAGCATCAGGATCTTTTCCAATGAGTCAGCTCTTCGCATCAGGTGGCCAAAGTATTGGAGTGGAGATGTGGTACTGCTTGATATGAATAGAAAATAGCCATAAAGATAAATCCAATGAAGACAAACAAGAAAAAAGATACATTGTGTTTGAGCTGGATACTGAGTTGCTGACTGAGGGCTCTGAGTTGGAGGCCAGAGTCTGATTCATTGGAGGACACCATCAGGTGTCAGGGGTGTGATCATTACCTTACTACCCAAAGATACTGCAGAACTTGGGAGGCCCAAGACCACCCTCACTTCTGATGCCAACTACAAGGCTGGGTGTGCCCAAGACCATCTTCAGGTTCAATAATTCACTAGAAGGACTCACAGAACTCACTGAAAGCCATTATACTCACAGTTATGGTTTACTGGGCTTGCCTGGTAGCTCAGGCAGTAAAGAATCTGCCTGAAGTAAAGGAGACCTGGTTTCGATCCCTGGGTTGGGAAGATCCCCTGGAGAAGGGAATGGCTACCCACTCCAGTGTTCTTGCCTGGAGAATTCCATAGACAGAGGAGCCTGTTGGGCTACAGTCCCTGGGGTCGCAAAGAGTTGGACATAGCAAAGTGACTAACACACACATACCCACACACCAGAAGAGTTCCAGCCGTGAAACTCCCAGGTGTTCTCTCCCAGCGGAGCAGTGGACAGTGCTAAGTTCTGGCAGCAGCGTGTGACAATACTGTCAATAGGGGAAGCTCCCACAAGATTTGGTGTCAAAGTTTTTACTGGAGCTCAGTCACAGAGACGCGACTGACCACCCGGGTGGTCACCTTAATTTCTGGTCCCTCTGGCTGATACCTGTGACCCAATTAATCCCATTGTTAGGAACTGTCTAAGCTGGCCCAAGGCCCCCAAGTAAAGAAAGACACTCTTTTCAGGCAGGACATTCCAGGGGCTTAGAGATAACCTTTCAGGAGTTGAGCACAAAAGCTAGCTATCTCTACTAAACAGAGTCTTCTTTTATATCATTAAAAGATATTCAAGGGCTTCCCTGGTGGCTCAGTGGTTAAGAATCCACCTGCTAATGCAAGAGATGCGGGTTCGATCACTGATTTGGGAAAATCCCTGGTCCGTGGGCCACAGCTATTGAGCCTGTGCTCTAGAGTCCAGAAGCATCAACCACTGATCTCATGTACCCTGAGGGCCCTAGAGCCTGTGCTCTGAAACCAAGAGAAGCTGCTGCAATGAGAAGCCCGCATACCACAACTAGAAAGTAGCCCCTGCTTACCGCAACTAGAGAAAAGCCTGTGCAGCAACAAAGACCCGGCACAGCCAAAAATAAATAATAAATAAAATTATTTTTAAAAGACATTCAAAAAGCAATTTACTCTTGTGATGCAATTCAATGTGAGTTAATATTGTCTGGGGCCTAAAACCATTTCCTGTGCCACCACTGGAGCATAGCCTGGACTCGAGGAATCACCAGCTCAGGGGCACACCTGACTGCCTCTCAGGAAGAAGTAGGACAGAGCTGACCCACTTCATTCATAACTAGGGGAATTATGTTAGGTGTTAGGTGTCCATTCCCCCTCATGCCATCTTCCTATGGAGTAGAGATGAAAAAACTGATACTGTGTTTTGAAGATGCCCACGACATGGAGTTTTGGATGCAGATTCAGCTCTGCCAATTAGAGGCTTTTATATAAAATTTGGAGGTTTCCCAGGTGGCTCAGTGGAAAAGAATCAGCCTGCCAATGCAGGAGACACAGGTTCAATCCCTAGGTCAAGGAGATCCCCCAGAGGAGGACATGGCAACCCACTCCAGTATTCTTGCCTGGAAAATCCAATGGACAAAATAGCCTTGTGGGCTCCATGGGGTCACCAAGAGTCAGACATGACAGAAACGACTTAGCACTCATGCATGCGTATGAAATTTGGAAGGCCAAAGAGATCATCTTTTTGCTCAGTTGGCTATTTTCTGCTGGCAAGGAGGGTTGCCAAGGTGATGAGTTTGGGACCACATTATTCCAGTGTCTAGTCACTAGCTTTGTGGGCATTAAGAGGCAGTTATACGTGCGTGTGCACACACACACGCACACACACAGAGGATTTCTAAATGGCCAATAAACACATGAAAAGATGTTCAATATCACTAGTCATGAGCAAAAAAGTAAATGAAAATAAGAATGAGACAGCACCACAGGCAGAATGGCTAAAATTTGAAAGACTAACAATATCAAGTGCAGGAGAAGATGAGGAGCAAGTAGAATTTTCATACATTGCTGTAAATTGGAGTATAAATCAGTACAGTCACTTCAGAAAACTATCAGTTCTTTAATACTTATTTTTTTGGCCATGCCAGTTCTTAGTTACAGCATGTGGGATCTAGTTCCCTGACCAGGGATGGAACCTGGGGCCTCTGCTTTGTGAGTCTGGATCCCTGAACCACCAGGGAAGTCCCTATCAGTTCTTTAAAAAGGTGAATGTATGTTGAACATATGATCTAGCAATTCAATTCTTAAATATCTGTCCAAGAGAAAGGAAACCATGTGTCCAGAAATGAGTTGTACCACACAAGTGTTTATAGCAGCAGTATTTATAATGGCGAAGAACTGGAAATGGTCTAAACGTCCATCAGCATAGGTGAGTGCATACAAACTGTGGCAAACTTAGCGATGGAACTAAGTGATGGAACACTATTCAGCAATGAAAAGAATTACTGGTATGCATGACAACATGAATGAATCTCAAAAGCATTATCATGAGTGAAAGGAGCCAGATACAGAGGAACATACACTGTATAATTCTGTTTATGTGAAGTTCTAGAGTAAGCAAACTGAACTGATGGTAACAGAAGTCAGAATAATAGGGGCCTCCACTACTGTCCTGTTGCCTTTACTATGAAAGCAGGCGGTTGATGGAGAAGGGATATGAGGGGACTTTCTTGAAGGATTAAAGTGTTCTATACACTGACAGCAATGCAGATAAACTGAATGTACCTATTGATCAGAATTGGCTGAACTGTACACTTCAGATTAGTGTATGGTGGCTCAGACAAAAAGAATCTGCCTGCAGTACAG